ACAGTCAACCGTTGATGTCTGGAGCACCCGTCTCGACGCACCATGAACTGTTCATGCCCGGAGCGCCCCGTCCGGCTGACAACCAGCAGCTCCCAGCATGGCCCTCCATCACGGCCACCGTTCCACCTTCATCGCAGCAGCCTTTTCACATGGTACAACGAGATGGAGCAACATGATCTTCCCGCGCCGGCAACATCAACACTCAACAACACACTCCGGACAACAATGTATCACGGATGAGCCTGTCGCTGCTAGCGCGGACCATTTTGTAAGTGTGAATAATCGCAGGCCTTCTGTACCACACATCCAAAACAATAGGCTATCTAAATGTATGCTTTGGAACGTAGAATCATTAGAAGGTTTACAAAGAGATAGCGGCGAAAATGAGTTTGATGAACTAGATCTAATTTTATTTACAGAGACGTTCGTAACCGAGCCCAATAGAGTTTATTTCCCGAACCATAAAATATTTCATGGACTTGCACTAAAAACAGATGGAAGAGGACGGCCAAAGTGGGGCGTGAGCATAGCCGTAAAAACAACTGAATTCGCTGAAGTTATTTCATGTTCGGCTAGAAAATTAATAATTGAATTAGTTGATTACTATATTATTTGTATTTATAGTACACCAAAGAGAGAAGTTACCGATATAATACTCGAGATAGGCGAATGTCTACAAATGTGCGAAAAACAAGACAAACATATTTTAATAGGAGCCGACTTTAATTGCGACTTGAGCAAAGACACATCTAGACGAGCAGCTTTCCAAGAAGGAACCAGAGAGCTAGGGCTAATCATAGAAAATGATCTGAATGTTCCAACCTACATAAGCTGGAATGGAACAAGCCTCATAGACTTAATATTAACCACGGCAGAAAATCCCGGTGCGCTGGTAAAAGATATAGCAGTTAAAAAGTCCTCTCACAGAAAGCATTGTCAAGTAGCGTTTAACTTAGTTCGATTTCACGATTATCAGGAGAACATATCTTATAAAGTTAATAGAACCTTGGATAAACATTTACTAATGCAGGCTCTTCAGCTTATGAACTCGGCAGATGACGTTAACTACACGGAGAGATCCATCCGCTGGGCAATACACCAGTCTGGTCTTAAACAAAAACAAACGAAGAAAAAGAAAATTATACATAAGCCATGGTTCGATTCAGAGTGTCGTTTTACAAAATATCTTATATGTAGTCATAACAATTTTAGTCAATACGGTCTAAAAATCCTATCAGAGCTCAAGCAAAAATTTAAAATAATGAAAAAGGCGAAAAAAGAAGCATATGAAAATAAAGAGCGAATTAAACAAGTGTCGAGTAGCGTCAAAAAACCATGGCTGCTCATTCCAAAGAAGCCAAACCCACCAAACCCACTTATAAACGATCAGAGATGGATTAATCATTTTACGAGTCTGTTTAGTGATACCGAGATTGAACCAGTAAGAGACGCCCCGAGTGCTGTTCGTAACTTCACCGAAGAAGAAGTGGGCACGAGTATTATGTTAAAACAAAATAATAAATCGGCTGGACCCGATCAAATAGTTTATGAACATATTAAGAATAATAAGGAACTACTTATTCCGGCTCTGACAACTCTGTATAATAAATGTCTCCTTAAAGGCAAAATCCCAGATGAATGGAGAAAAAGTTATATTCAACCCCTGTATAAAGGAAAGGGAGATGCAACTGAACCTCGTAACTACAGAGGTATCGCACTCACAAGCGTCCTGTATAAAGTACTCACATCAATGATAGTAGCACGGCTGACGGAAAGTCTTCAAGATATGTTGCCAGCAGAGCAATTTGGATTTTTACCGGGCCGGTCCACTCTCCAAGCGGTCGAATTTTTAGTGTCTCACGTCACAGAAAGGCAAAGAATGGGTAATATGACTTACGCAGCCTTTGTGGATTTCCAGACTGCGTTCGATAGCGTGCCGCGTGATAGATTATTATATACAATTAAAAACTATTTTAAAGTAGAGGGATCAATGTATAATTTGATATTAGACATACTATGTCCGAACAAAATATTCATTCGAAATGGAGCTCACACCGTAGACAGAGCGGTTACCCAGATGAAGGGAGTTGCACAAGGCGACCCAGCCAGTCCTTTTTTATTTCTTCTTTATATTACGGGTCTCGACAAGTGTCTGAACGAGGTGAAGGCACCTCATGGATTTTATGCCGATGACCTTGTGATTTTGGGAAAGTCGAGAGCCCACTTACAATATTACTTGAATCAAATGTCCCAATGGTGCTTAGATAACAAGATTATTATAAATATTGATAAAACCAAAATATTACGATTCAGTCGCGGCGGAAGCTACAGCTCCAATGACCGCAGTATCAAAATAAACAGCACGCCAATAGAACTAGTAAACAATTTTACCTATCTAGGCATAACAGTGACAACTAAAATGTCATTCTCGCGACACATCGAGGAGAAAAAGGCAAAGGCGATGGCCGCTATGATACTATTAGGAGATATTAGGGATGTAGACCTCAAAACAGCATTTAATTTATTCCGTATAAAAATAATACCGATTATTCAATACTGTTTACCAATAATTGCAAAATATTTTACTCTATCAGATCTTAAAAATATAGATAAGATAAAAGCTTCTTTTGTGAAAAGACTTTTGGGTTTACCATCAAATGCATCCTCTACTCTAGCTTTAGAATTGTGCAATGAGAAGACTCTCATAGAGGAACTCACTCAAAAGGGGATATCTTTCGAAAAAGAGGTTTTGGATAAATATATGAAATTTAGGGAAGAGCGCAACATTAACTTTGTAACTGAAAATTACACTGAAGGGCCGGCTTTTAAAACAGAAAAATGGAAACAGGCAAGGCAGAAAAATAGAAGAATTGTCTGTAGAGTCACATGGCACGGCTACCACCACCACATCTGTCTGAAAGGAGCCTGCTACTATGTTGACGATTGTCTGTGTCGTTTTTGTGGACGTGAAATTACCGATAGATATCATATATTAGATTGCAGTGACATTGAAGGAGCCTCCCTCAGAGACAGAGTGGAGCATGTATCAGACTTTTAGACAACATGCAATGCTATTTTAAACATTTGAAAGTGTGTTTGAAGAGTGTAATTATTGTATCATA